CATAAACATATACCTATCTTCCTTGTTTATCATTAACTACAATTTTTACCAAGTTCACTTTGTCGCACAAGCATGCAAAGTTGACTATTTCTGAACTGTTCATTAATAACTAACCTGAGATGTTTCATTTGCAGCTAAAATTGAGCTTGCCAAACCAATCGAAGATAAAGAAGTTGATGAGTTCACAGAGTCCGTCAGCTTTTCATGCCAGCTCACTCGGCCGACGAATGATGTCACCTGGTTGAAAGATGACCAACCAATAGATGAGAGCGATAAGTACAAGATTGTGAAAGAGGATACATCACATACACTCATTGTGTCTGATGTTACCACTGAGGATGAGGGAATATATACATTCAAGGCTGGTGATGTTAAAACAGATGCTGAACTCTTAGTTGAACGTAAGTGCATTGATATGAGTAGTTATGTGACCGATGATATTTACATGATGTCTTTCTTTCATGTGGGTACTATAAAGTTTTGTTACAGATTGAATCTACACATTTGTACAGTATACATGCTCTCTATTTTTCTGATAATGCTGCTTTTTTCAAAAAACAAATTTAAAAATCACAATATCTCATTGCCCAAATGTGATGATCGTCAAGGCAGTGTGTGATCCAAGCCCAGCAGTCATGGTTAATAGATTAGGTGAATCTTTTTAATCCTCCCATTGCAAAGGAATCTGATGTCTGTTTTGTTTTATTAGAATGTTACCATTTCTAGATTCTCTCAAACATTTCCTTGGTATATTTGTTGTAGCTGCTAAATTCTTGAAACCAATCATTGATGTGAACATAACTGAATTTGATAAAAGTGCCACATTTGAATGTGAAGTTTCTCATGTGAGAGCTCCAGCCAAGTGGTTCAAGAACGGTATTGCCGTCTCACATTCACCACGCACACAGATTGGTGTTCATATCAAGAAGCGAAGTCTCACAATTCTTGACACAATTCCTGAAGATGAAGGCGAATACACATGTCTTGTTGGAGAGTCAAAGTCATCAGCCAATCTTAACATCACAGGTCTGTTCACAAGGCACCAAATACTAACATGATGTAAAACACATCAGGCTTTAAAACTCATTCCTGTTTGCTAACTGTTGATGAAACCTATTTGTCATCACTTGCCAACTAACCAGGGTTGTTTTGGTGTTAGATTTGCTTCTGTTGCTTTCATGATTGGTTGTGCAGTCTGTTGAATTAACACACTTAACATATATATGGGCTTCTAAGTGCATGTTGCTGCCGTTCTCTGGAAGCCAGATACTGTCATAGATCTGTCACCTGTCGACTTAATCTGTTACATGTTACCATTGGCAGTCACTGCTCACTGTAACAATTCTGTCCAATCAGTATTGTCTTCTCTGTCTACTGACACAATCTTTTCACTCAAGTAGTGGCAGTGATGCTGTTCACATAGTCATCTGTCTCTAAATCACTTTCATCTTCCTGGTGGGTATGTCTATGACATTGTGACTGTGGTGTAGACTTTGTCCAACTTAATTGCATACATTCTTATTATAGTATACTATAGTATAGTATATAGGTTGAACAGTGTGTCTGTGCTTATACATATTGGTTACAAATACTGATACCCCAATCCCCTTACAGTGACCAAATTTGGTGAACAACTGAAAGACATTCAGTGCAGTGAATTTGAACCAGTCACTTTAGAGTGTGAAGTCACCAACAAATTGGCTAGTGTCACTTGGTTGAAAGATCAGGAGGAAGTCAAAGAAAGTCCACGTGTGAAAATCAGTACTGATGGAACCAAGCACATGCTGACTATTTTAGAGACTATTCCAGAAGATGAGGCTGAATATACATGTAAAGTGGGTGCAGTGACTACTTCCTGTGAACTATTAGTTGACAGTAAGTGGACGACTGAGAAAGTCTGATCTATCATCTTTGTCACACATTTTAATATCTAGCATATAGCAAAACTTACTGGTTAAGTGAATTCCCCTGTTTCTGCGTCTTATCCTTCTTACCTTCATAATTTAATTCTTGCACTCTTCCCTTCTCTCAGCAACCACTTTTACCAGTACTCTGGCAGACAAAGATGTTAGTGAGTTTGAGAAATCCACTTTTGAGTGTGAAGTATCCAACGAAAAGGCTAATGTTACTTGGTTGAAGGACGGTCAACCAATCGAAGAAGGACCTAAGTACACCATCACTGTAGATGGGAAGAAACGAACCTTGCTTGTCCATGACATTACTCCTGATGATGACGCTGAATATACATGTGTTGTTGGCGATCACAAAACAACTTGTGGTCTATTTGTTGAAGGTGTGTACTTGCATGAATGGCTATCTGACTGTCATGATATGCAGTGTCTCTCTTCAACTACCACTTATCACTTTTGCTTGAAATATACTTGCGACTTATCTGCTTATTACAAATTCATTTGTGTCCAAGTTAATTTCATTTCTATTCCTGTCTTGAAACTTATCCTTCATTTGCTGGTCCTGATTTCCTCCATTTGTATTATACAATTGTTGCACCAAATTTCAATGAAGATTTTCACTTTTTAGCCACCAAGTTCAGTTCCCCTTTGAAGAGTACTGATGCCATTGAATTTGAATCAGTCACATTGGAATGTGAGGTATCTCATGATAAAGGTCAGGTGACCTGGTTCAAGAATGGTAAAGAGATTGAACCAAGTGATAAATACAGGATAGAAGTTGATGGTCAGACTAGACGTCTCATTATCTCAGATCTTACTTGTGAAGATGTTGCTGAGTATACCTGTGTGATTGGTACTGAGAAAACTTCCACTACACTCAATGTTAAAGGTTTGTTGTTAATATTGTTTGAGATATTAAGGACTAGTGTATTGATGACAAATTAACCTAGCTGCATGAACTAATCGCTGAAAGAAGAATGGTCAAGCTGTATCTACTTTCCTGACCATTGTTGTAGCTAACCCTTGTTAGGAACCTTATCACAAAGAAGAATGGTCTACCATGCCTCCAGTTAAACTAACCTTTGCTATATACCTGATTAAGGAAGAGGAATAGTCTATCTTAAGAACACTTTTGCATGAATTAACTCCAACCTAATCATAGACGCAGAAAGGTCTAAATTGAAATTGAGCCCTGCTAAGAACCCAATTGTAGAAGAAGAATGGTCTACCTGCATTGTTTTTCTTGATCTTTGCATGAATTAATCCCTGGTAAAAATGTAATCTTAGATGAAGAATGGTTTACCTGGTTCAATCTCTCTGACCATTGCAGAAACTAACTCTCACTAATTAAGGTCTACCTGCTTCTTCCTTTCTTTCCTTTGCCACTGCTAAAAACCTAATAATTGAAGAAGAATAGTCTACCTGTTTCTTCTTTCCTGACTGAAATTGATATTCCTCTCAGTGAAAGTTTACCCATGTATGTTAATGCTTGGATAGGCCTCAAGATACCAGGTTCCAATATCTTGCCTGAAGGCATTCCTGACTGCTGTTTGATTGTTTGTGAAAGATTCTTATCAAGAGTATGTTGATTGGTTTTCTAGCTACCGGATTCAGTTCACAGTTGAAGGATGTTGATGCTACAGAGTTTGAAGCTACTGTACTTGAATGTGAACTCTCCCATGAGAAAGGTGTTATCACTTGGTTGAAAGATGGCAAACCTATAGAGGAAGGACCCAAGTATACCTTTATTGTGGATGGCAAAAAGCGTGCTCTCAAGATCGAGGATGTCTCTCCAGATGATGATGCAGAATACACTTGTGTTGTTGGTGATGAGAAGACCACTGCTGGTGTATTTGTTGAAGGTGTGCATATTCTTCTACACTTTGATACATGGTCTTGACTACTTTGGTCAGCAGAATGTTAAAACCTAGTTTGTTACTAAAGTTTTGAATTCCTTTGTGATCCTCTTGAACTATGAATTTGTGTGTTTGGATTTGCATTTTGAGTGAGGTTGTTGGACCCTGTGTGATTCTATCCTATCCTGTAGAAATTTGTTTGAATTATATTAACTGATGGCACAGGAGTAAATCATCTTTTATATGAACAGGTGTAGTATATTACACCCTTGTAATATATTTACAACTCTTGCACTTTTACTTTGCATCTCATGCTCACTTGTAGAGAAACTCTCCATCCACCTAACATTTTTTTTAACTTTCATTTATCTTTCACTAATATGATGCATTTACTTATTTTATCTGAATACTGTTCCATAATGTTTTTGCAAAAAGCACCATCTTCTTGCCAAAGATCTGTTTTATATCTATCCGAAATATTCACTGTAAACCATCAAATTGTTATGCAATCAATATTGGTGATTTAATTCACAGGTAAAAAAAGGCGCAAAAGGCTGTTAAAATCTCATTGATAATGAGAGAGCCACAAGACTTTGACCCTCATATAGTGTTACATTCTCTCCCACCATCTACTGTTCAGCTGATCTATATACCTATGCTATTTGGAACAATTGACAAGGGAGCACACTTTTTGAGAAACCAAAATAAGTCTGGTGCTACTCTTACTTTCTTGATAAACACCTTTTTCTGTTCATATTTTCATTTTATAACTATTTCCTGAACTTGTTTTGTTCGTAATTTTGAATCTGGAATATACTTTGAAATTAAAAAAAAAGTTTTGGAAAACCATTGAATATTTTATAACAGATTTTGGCAGAACATTTCTTGATTTTGATTTGCAATTTTTGACTTTTTAATGCATTTTTTTTCTTTTCATCTCTCTGTGCTATGTATGCTATGTGTAATGCACCTTTTTTTGTTTGTACACCCATCCACTTTATCTTTCCACCTGTGTGCCATGTCTGCTTGCAGATACTTCATTCACTACAAAACTCAATGACTCTGATGCACTAGAGTTTGAGTCAGTGACACTTGAATGTGTAGTGTCTCATGAACGAGCCCATGTCGTGTGGCTTGTCAATGATGTAGAATTGCAACCTAGTGAGAAGTATGAATTTGTTGCCATTGGAAAGACCCGTAAACTGATAATTCATGATTTGAGCATCTCGGACGATGCCGAGTACACATGTGTTTTTGGAAAAGAAATGACCACTGCTGCCGTAACAGTGGAAAGTGAGTCTCAACAAGCTGTGTGTTTGTATTTGTACTGGGTTTTATCATGATTCATAATCCATAGTATGTTATTTTAATACAGTGTATTTATATGTTATATTTTCATTGTTTATCTTGGTGGCTCCATCTTCCAAGTATTATATCGAAAGAAAAACAATATATAACAACCTGTTGAAAAAATAATTATTTCTAATAATATTTATGATACAGTTTTCATTAATTCTAGGTGAACCATTTTATTTATTTATTTATTTATTTATTTATTTATTTATTTATTTATTTATTTATTTATTTATTTATTTATTTATTTATTTATTTATTTATTTATTTTATTTAATATTTATTTATTTATTTAATTTAATATTTATTTATATATATTTTTTTTGTATAAATTTATTTAATGATAATGACTGTGACTGTCATTATATTTCTTGCATCTCAGACAGGATGCTAATTAATAATTATTGTAATAATTAATATTAATTACACATTTTGCATATTTTTACAGCTACTAAATTTACCACTAAACTATCTGACATTGATGCTACTGAGTTTGAATCAGCAACATATGAGTGTGAAGTATCTCATGAAAAGGGTGAAGTCATCTGGTTGAAAGATGGTAAACCAATTGAAGAAAGTCCCAAATACAAAATAATTGTTGATGGCAAGAAACGTGCTCTTATAATCCAAGACGTTAGTGTTGATGATGATGCTGAATACACATGTGTGATGAGGGATGAGAAAACATCCGCAAATACTTTTGTAGAAGGTGAGTTTATCCAGTTTGTCCTTTCAAGATGCTTCTTTCAGTCTTGTTGTCAATACTATATTCTATTTTAATTTCACAAAAGACAAATTTTTACAAGTCAGTGATAATCCCAAAAATTTGCGTTATTTTCATTTTGAAAAAAATTGTGTGTTGAGAAGAAATTTGGCCAGCTGTATCCAAAAGTAAAGTTTTATTTTAATGTTAGAGTACCTCATATCTGTGTAGCTAAATAATCAGTGGTGTTGACAATAGTTTGTGTATTTATAGGAAATGGTATTATTTTTTTTTGGCATATGATTTATTTATCTGCAGCATGTGCCTCAGTTCAAAAGCGGCTCACAACTCCTTTTTCTGTCTTCTGCCAAAATACTGTCTAAAAGAGCAACATCCCTTACTGATAACTGTTGTCATGGTATTTTTTCAGCTACTACATTCACATCACCAATAAAGGACATTGACGCTATTGAATATGAGAATGAAAAATTAGAATGCGTGGTATCTCATGAGAAAGCAACGGTTACATGGTTGAAAGATGGTCAGCCAATTGAAGAAGGGCCAAAATACACCTTTGTTGCAGATGGTAAAAAGCGTTCTTTGCTGATAAATGATGTCAATCCAGATGATGACGCTGAATACACCTGTGTTATTGGCGAGGAGAAATGTACAGCTGGTCTGTTTGTTTGTGGTGAGTAAACTCTACATTCACATACACAATTATTTTCTTTGAGAAGAACAACATTGAAACAAAAATTACATTATCCTTAGATTGAATGAAAGGTGTTTAAAGGAAATATTGATTGTCATCATTTTCTCATCATAAACTTTGTCTTTGTGGTTACAATAACTAAAAATGTTTTGTTTTTTGTTTTTATTAGCAACTAAATTCACTAAGGAACTTAAGGATGTGGATGTGATTGAAAGGGAGACAGCTAGATTTGATGTTGAGGTGTCCCATGAAAAAGCTGAAGTGACTTGGCTTAAAGATGGCAAAGAGATTGAACCAAGTATGAGATATGAATATAAAGTGGATGGAAAACAACGCTCATTAATTATTCATGGTGTTACTCCGGATGATGAAGCAGAGTATACATGTGTGTTGGGCAAAGAAAAGTCAAATGGTGGACTCTTTGTTGAACGTAAGTAATTATTACTTTGCCTGTATCACTGTAGATGAAGGCCAAGTAATATTTGGAGAAAATGTCTGTCCTCATTGTTTTTGTTGCTGTTGTTGCATTGTTTCAGGATTTTATAGTTACTCATTTTTTCTATGTGAAGAAAAGATTATGCAATATGAGCTTGTATAACCATCCATCCATTTGTTATAGATTCTTAATAGGCAAGGTTGTAATAGTTATGCTATGTTTTTAATCTGTAAACTGTAACTTACTGGTAGATTAAATAAATAATGACAATGCCAGCATGGTCACAACACAGTTCAAGGTTATGTACCGTCATGAGTAGCTTGCACTACACTTATATCTTCTGTTATCTCATCTAATGTTTTGTTTTTTTGTCAAATCTCACTTTATAGCACCACCTGTTGAATTTGTTGTCCCAGTCAAACCAGTGGATGTCATTGAACGACAGACAGCAGCTTTTGAATGTGAAATCTCAGAGGATGCTGAAGTCACATGGCAGAAAGATGGTGAAGATATCCAACCCAGTGAGAAATATGAGTATATATCAGAAGGCAAAATCAGAAAATTAGTCATACATAACTGTAACTTTGAAGAAGAGGCTGAATATACATGTGTTACCAAAGATCACAAATCCAATGCCGAACTGGTTGTGCTAGGTGCGTTTACATTATATTTGGAAATAATAAATGGATGTTATAGATTATGTCAATCTATCTATGATGTTTAGATATCATGTCATTAAATTTCTGTATGTTCTCATTTCTCAGAAGCGGCACCTGAGTTCAAGGAACCATTAAAAGATGTAACAACAATGGAAGAATCTGATTCTTGTACTCTGCAATGTACCCTAGATAAAATAACAACCAATGTGAAATGGATGAAAAACAAGGAAGTGATCACAGAGTCTGCCAAGTATGAGTTTGTACATGATGAGTATACACATAAATTGATTGTCAAGGACAATGTATTGGAAGATGATGCTGAATACACTTGTGTTGTTGGAGAATATACGTCTGAAGCTAACATAAAAGTAGAAGGTAATCATTTTGTTTAATTAACTGAATTTTTGGAAATGTTGATAATTTCAATGCATAAAAGTGTATATAGCTCAATTGGCCTTTGGTCTGTTGAGATGGTGTAATATCCTGTTCTTGTTTCCATTCGGCTGGCCATATGTGGATGAATTCTTCTCAAAAATTGTTGAACCATTTTACTTGGTTTTTGCTGTTACTGCCTTGAGGAATACACAGAATATTATTCAAATTAGCATAAATTACTATTATCATATTTGTTGCTGTTCACAGAAAAACCAGTGGAAATTGTAGAAGGCCTCAAAGAAGTGGTTGCAAGTCCTGATGACACAATCAGCTTCACTTGTGTCCTCAACAAAGAGCGAGTGAATGTTAAGTGGTTCAAGAACGATGAAGAAATTAAGCCTAGTGATAAATACGAGATGACGAAAGACTTCAAAACTCATAAACTGGTTGTCAAAAATGCTGTATTTGAAGATGATGCAGAGTTTTCATTTGTTGCTGAAAGTGAGGCTAGCCGTGCTGATCTCATTGTTGAAGGTGAGCTGATTATGATAGCGAGGATTGATGAGATGATGGTATGCAAGTGGTGATAGATGATTAAAATCTTATGTGAATTGAGTGATGGTCTTAAAATCCCAAGACAGACATAGATTTCTAAAAATGCTAATACATATGAGTGAATATGTGGAAAAATGGTTAGTGATTAACTTGGAGTGTTTTGCTAGAGTCCATGCTTATTCATAAAAGAAATCAATAAATAAATTACAGTTACATACGTCCTTTGATAAAATACATCTCACAGCTTTATTATTATTATCCCTTTGTAATTTAGGTTCTGTCAATTCTTAAATATGATTTTATGTTGCCATTAATTCAAAATTTGTCATACTATTTTCATATCAGATGAACCAAAGGTTACAGTTGAACCTAAATTTATGGAGATCACAGTGAAAGCAGAAACCAAAATTGTTGTTGAGTCTAGCTTCACCGGTGCTCCCGCTCCAGAATCTGAATGGACTAAAGATGGAAACAAACTGGATGTGACTGATGATCGCATCAAAGTACAGGCTACCAAGGCGATGAGAGGAAACACCACACTGACTATCAACAAGGCCAAGAGAAGTGATAAAGCTACTTACACTGTTACTGTGTCTAATGATTTGGGAACAGACTCTGTCAATGTTGTTGTCAATGTTTTAGGTAAGAGTGATGTACTGCTCCAAATATAAAATGTTGTTTGGGAATTGTACTGATTCACATTTATAAGCATTTACAATTTTTTGTAAAATTTGTATCAAAAATAGTTTACTCCCAAATTTGTTATTAAACACGTTTTTTTGGAAATATGTTATTTACAGACAAACCAACTCCACCCACCAATCTCAAAATCAGTGAAATTACACCTGAGACTGTCACCTTGAACTGGGAGCCCCCAGAAGATGATGGTGGCGATGTCGTCACTGAATACACCATTGAGAAGCGTGATACAAAACGAGCAACATGGTCTGATGCTGGAACGACTTCAGATCTCACTTTCCAAGTCAAGAAATTGATAGAAGGCAATGAGTATGTGTTCCGTGTTAGTGCTGTAAATAAACATGGTACAAGTGAACCTACTCAAACATCTCCAATCATTGCTAAACACCAATTTGGTAAGTATGTGTTCATTGAAATATAAATCAGATAATTTTATGAAAAAATGTTAAAGCTTTGACATTTAATTTGGGCCTCAACATACATCTGCATGATATGTTGACACTTTTTATAAGCTATTAAATATTTGTGATGATTCAATGAAATTTGACAAACAGGCAACCATTTTTGTCAAAAAGACGAAGAAGAAAAAACACTTGTGTCCACTATGAATCATGTTATTTGTTTATAAAATATCCCCTCTGTGTTACCTCTATAGATGTACCAATGCCACCTACTAAACCTGAAATATCTGATGTGGATCGAACAGTAATGACAGTCACATGGTCACCACCAGAATTTGATGGTGGTAGTCCAGTCACAGGCTACTTTGTTGAAAGATGTGACACTGCAAGAGATAGATATATCAGAGTTAACAAAGACAGCATTACAGAAACCAGCTTGATTGTCCATGACCTGGTTGAAGGAAATGAATATGTATTCAAAATTTATGCTCAAAATGAAGCTGGACCAAGTAAACCTTCTCCAGCATCTGATCCAAGAATTGCAAAACCACCATATGGTATGTATTTCTAGTAGCCCCTGTGCCAAGTTCACAAAGTTTTGATAATGCACCATTTATATATACACTGTGGATGCAATACATGAAATATCTAAAAAGCTTCTGTACTGATAAGATGAAACAGACAAGTTTGGATTTTTTATTAACTAGGCTCTTTTGTGAATCTTAACATATAACAATCAGTGTCATCTTGGGTACACTGGGCATACAAACAACCCATGCGTTTCTAAAGGGAAACAGCCATGAAAATTTACTATGGAATACTTTTTTTTCACTTGGAATTAATTTTCACCATTTTCGCTGAAGGAATGATTCAGTGAAAATAAAATCCAGCGAATATACCTTTTTTCTATATTTTACAACTTGTCAAATATCAGTGAAAATAAATTCCATACAAAACGCCAAAAAAGTCCGTTCAGTGAAAATTAAATCCAGCTAAAATAAAATATTTTACAGTATTCAACTTGTCAGAAAATCTCCCCTTCTAGTTGCAAATCAACACTAGTACTTTCAGCTGCCTAGCAGCTAGAATACTCATCAAACGATAATGTGACCATATTCTATGAAGAAATGATTGTTCATTTTATGCTTTGCAGTGAGTGCACTATTTGACAGATTCATTTAATTTTTACAGATGCACCTGAAGCACCAGGTAAACCTGAAACAGAGAACATTGAACGTACTGAAATGAAAGTATCTTGGACACCACCAGAGAATGACGGCGGATCACCAATCACAGGATACATCGTTGAGAAATGCGATGTCGCTAGAGATCGTTGGGTGAAGGCGCATAAGGAAACTGTTCTAGAAACTGAGTTGCTTGTGAAAGATTTGATGGAAGGCAATACTTATAAATTCAGAGTCTTTGCAGAAAATGCAGCAGGACTAGGACCAGCTAGTAAACCATCAGAACCAAGGATTGCTAAACCACCATATGGTAAGTATAGCCACATATTTTTCCATATACTCTTTTGAAAATTACAATTCTGATTCAGTTCTGCCATGTTCCAATTTAAAATGACATTTGAGTGAACGTTGACTAAAACCTAGCTTTGTTTAATCTTATAAATGCCTTCAGGATGTAAAAATCTTTGTGTAATAAACAATTCTTAGTTCTTTGTGTTTTAGTTTAAATAGGTTTGACTGAATATAAGAATGGCATATGCTTTTTTGGTTTATATTAAAAATTATTGTAGTACTTAGTCAAGGCTCTTTTTAAATTAAAGCAAGGCTGTCATCAGAACTGTTTTTGTTCAGTTCTATTATTGTTTACTGGTTGCTCTTTACTTACATCATACACACCATGTGCTATATGCAGTTCAGAACAAAATCATTGCCAATGGGCTCACTGTCATAAAACTATTTTATCTCAACTAGAAAACTATGACCAAGCATAACACATATTAAGTAAATGTGCAACTGACTAAAGCATATCTCTAAAAACTGGTTGCTATTAATATTGTTTTGTGATCCCTGCCAATGTACATGCACTTTTCTGAAGGCAGTGCCTAAATAATTAATTGAGATATAAAAACAAAAATACTTGACATGATTAAATTTTGTTCTAATGCAGATCCTCCAAGTGCTCCTGGTAAGCCAGAAACCAGTGATGTAGATGCCACAGTGATGACAGTCACATGGACAACACCTGAAACTGACGGTGGTTCTCCAATCACAAGTTATATTATTGAAAGGAGAGACACCTTCTCAACTAGATGGGTTAAAGTTAACAAAGACATTGTGCTGGACAACAGTTACAAAGTTACCAACTTAGTTGAGGGAACAGAATACCAGTTCCAGATCATGGCAGAGAACAAGGCTGGTGTTGGCCCCGCCAGTGAACCATCAGATCTACGGAAGGCTAAACCACCATATGGTAAGTGATAATGATTATATTTGAGCATGATGTTACCTGATACAGTGCATGTGAAATTAAGCCTCTGTATCCCTGTAAGTGTGAATACCGTAGGTGGAGGACAATAACATCTATAGTAAGTGTTTTAGTGTTTTTGTATCTGCTAATATCAATAAATGCTGTTAAGACATCCTCAATTTTCACATTATTAGCATGTGATAGTGAGATTGATGGACCTCACCAACTTGTCACAGCTGTTTGAACACATCCAATTGACTCAAATTCTAAATTTCCACAAATTTCCCGAGGAAAATTCAGTTTATATAACTCCTGCTGCATAGATACATAGATGATAGAAGTAAAAAAAAACTTGATATATCCATTTTTGAAGGAGATTATTCTTTATTTAGAATAGCAGAACATAAAAATTAGAATTATATCATTAATATGAGTCATCTTTTTACAAACGCATGATGATACTACCAATTTACTGCATGAGTAAATATGATTGTGCACTTTGCTGCATGATGAGCACGTTGATCTTAATCGCATGAAAGGTAAGGTAGTCAAACTACATAGGAGAAATATACAACCTATCAATATTTGACATCACAGATGCACCAGGGCCACCTGGAACTCCAGAAGTATCTGATGTAACAGAGAACTCCATGAAATTAACATGGACTGCCCCAGAAGATGATGGCGGTGCCCAAATTTCTGAGTACATGATAGAAGTGAGAGAACAGTCTTCCAAACGATGGAAGGTCATCATGGAAGGCATTACTGATTTGACTTTCAATGTGACAAAATTGATTGAAGGAAACACTTATGAATTTAGAGTATCAGCTAAAAATGCCGCTGGTTTTGGTGAGCCTAGTGCACCATCTGAACCTAGAGTGGCTAAACCACCGTATGGTGAGTCTTATCTATGATTTATAGGCATGCTGCAATTTGCATGTTTATGGTGAATCAATCACCTTTATCTTTCTGCATAAATGTCATATAGAGACTTTCCTAGGGTGCATGGTTCTGAAAAATATTACTTTATCCAAAACACCCAGACTCTTCCAGTGCTATTGTCTATTACAATTTCAAATTTGGTTTATATTCTTGGACTAGTAAATTTTGAAAATATTATTTATGTAAAATTTTTCCATTTTGCTGCAACATTTTCATATTAGTTACAAACAAGTTCAAAATTTTAAGTGTTTTAGTCAAGTGTATGACATAAGCAATTTCAATCAACTTGGCTATGTTATTCTTATTTCTGATGAGCTTTTTAGTGCTTTTACCATAGGTGACTAGAGAAATAATTTGAACTTATCAATTAATTGTAGCAAAATAAGTGTGCAAATTCACTACCATACTTGGCATTTAGCTGTTGAGAACACAAGACTGTACTTACCTATATGGCATTTATGTGTACCGATATATAGAATACTTTATTTTCGCTTGGAATTTATTTTCGCTATTTTCGCTGAAGAGATGATTCCGTGAAAATAAAATCCAGCGAATATACTTTTTTTTCTATATTTCACATTAAACTCATGAAAAATCAGTGAAAATAAATTCCAAGCAAAACGCCCAAAAAGCCTTTTCAGCGAAAATTAATTCCAGCGAAAATAAAGTATTCCACAGTATATGGATATAATTATGGTAGCACTGATATCACTTGCACTCTATCTACAGACCCACCAAATGCACCTGGTAAACCAGATATCACGGCTGTAGACAGCACAGAAATCACCATCACTTGGACACCACCAGAGAATGATGGTGGTTCACCAATCACAGGATACACTATAGAGCGATGTGATATCAGCAGGAAGAGGTGGATCACATGCAATAAACAAACCGTTACTGAGACCACATTCACCATCACTGAGTTGATTGAAGGCAATGAGTATCAGTTCAGAGTAGCTGCTGAGAACAAGGCAGGAGTTGGAGATATGAGTGAACCCAGTGATGTCACTAAAGCTAAACCACCATATGGTTAGTAATTCACATGCACTCTTTTCACAGTATTCAATCATAAGATCTTTCTGTTTAGACATTTTATAATATATCAGTGATTTTTAAGATAAAATATGCAACTTAGATAATCATGTACTGGGATATATTGCTATAAAAATTCCAGTCTTTAAGAGATTCATGTATGTAAATTCAAACTCGTGCTGATTAACAATTGTACCACAGAATGTAATAGAAAAGTTGATTTGTGGAGAGCTTATTGATTTATTGAGGCAGAACTTGTAATGCATGCCTATGAATAATATGCAAGGATACTTTCAAAAACTGCTTGAGCTTGAGTTTTTCCTCACTCATTAATATTTGCATTAATATTACGTCATTTATATTTGCATTAATATTTCTAGAATTGTACGTTTTTTGTGTGATTCTGTCATCATCCAGGATTTTCATTGCATAATACCAGTTGCATCTTTTATCTTCTAAACACTTGATGTATGCCATTGTCCATATTTGGACATTGGGTGATGTAATAGTATCAAATATAATGTCTCTGATCCTGCATATTTGCTACTTTATTGACTACACGTATAATTTTAGGTAAATTTAGAGCGTAAAACTGAAACATTGAAAGATGCATAACATTGTATACATGTATCATCTCACATGGTAATTTCAATGATTTATGTCTTAAATTATCAGATGTTCCTACTGCTCCTGGCAAACCTGAAGTAACGGGCACAATGCCTACTTACATCACCATCACATGGGCAGTACCAGAATCTGACGGAGGATCTCCCATCACCAATTACGTCATTGAGAAACGAGACACTACAAGAGATAGATGGGTGAAAGGAAGCAAGGAAGTCATCACAGATACAGTGTTCAGTGTTCCCGATCTCTTAGAAGGCAACGAATATGAGTTCCGAGTTGCTGCTGAGAACAAAGCTGGTATTGGAGCATTCAGTGAACCATCTGACAAAGCTGTAGCTAAGCTACCATATGGTAAGTCAGTGTAGCTGATATATTTATACTACATTTCATGTGTGAAATATAGGCCAACGAATGTCCATTAATTATTAAATTGTCCAAAAAATGGTCTACATTAGAAAAAACATTGATACAGTACTGTAGATGTTGTAGCACATGCTCTCTGTAAATGACCTTTTCAAACAATTTTGAATTTATCAATTGGGTTTGGTGGAATTAAAATCCCACCAAAACACAATTATTTTATTTGTAATAGATGTACTTCTAATTAATTGCAGTAATATGTTTCACAAATATTTTGTATGATAATTAATTTCTGATAATAATTACTCGCTTGACCTGGTTTATTCAAGTCTTTTGTGTTCTGAACATGTTTTCATTTCTGCTTACTTAAAGATGTACCAGAAGCAGCGGGTAAACCTGAGGTTCTCAATGCTGATGCCACTGAAATGACAATTGAGTGGACACCACCAGAAAAAGATGGTGGCAGCCCAGTTATTGGTTATGTGATTGAGAAACAGAAAGATGGTGGTAGATGGCTGAAAGTGAATAAAGATATAGTCCCTGAGCTGACCTATACAGTACAAGAATTGGTTGAAGGCTCTGAGTATCGATTTAGAGTCAGTGCACAGAATGCAGCTGGAGTTGGTAAACCAAGTGAACCATCAGATCCAAGAATTGCCAAACCACCATATGGTAAGTACAATCCCATTCATTTTTTTAAGACATTTGCTTCAATCTGTTCTTTGCTTCCTGTCTACTCTTCTTTTTTCTTCATCTGCTATGCCTCTGATAACTTTCTCTTAGATGTCCCTACTGCACCTGGTAAGCCTGAGACTTCTGATGTTGACAAGACTGAGATGACAATCACGTGGACACCTCCACTCTCCGATGGCGGTTCTGAAATTTTCAACTATATCATTGAGAAGCGAGAAACCAACGTGACTCGCTGGGTTAAAGCTACCAAAGTCACTATTACTGAGTGTACCTACAAACTGACTGATCTGAAAGAGGGTCTTAAATATGAATTCAGAGTTAGTGCAGAGAATAAGGCTGGTGTTGGACCAGTTAGTCCTCCATCTGATCCAAGAATTGCCAAACCACCTTATGGTAAATATATCTATCTTAAGCCACCTTGCATTCTTTTGAATCATAATTCTTCTTCAGCAGTGCAGCTTCACAATTCTTCATCTTTGAACACTGTTAATGTTTTCTTCTCAAATATTGCACATTTTTCTGTAAATTCTTATTATTGTTTATTCTGAACCAAATTATGTAGATTTTATGTTATAAAAAATTTAATTTTTGGGCTTAAAGGGTTAACCTGTACTTCATTGCATATGTATTGTAAATCTTTCTTTAAACCTTGATTCTTTTTATAGACCCACCTTCAGCTCCTGGAAAGCCTAAGATTACAGATATTGACAGCAATCATATGACTCTAACATGGACTGTTCCTGACAACGATGGTGGCAGTGAAATTATTGGCTATGTTATTGAGAAATGCGACACAAATAGAGACAGATGGCTGCGTGTGAATAAAGAATTAGTTAAGGAACTTACTCTGACGGTGACAGATCTCATTGAAGGAAATGAATACATCTTCCGAGTTGCTGCTGAGAATAAAGCTGGCCTGGGCAATTATAGTGAACCATCAGATCCTAAAGTTGCCAAACCACCATATGGTAAGTTGGGCTGGCATATTTAATTAAGTTTTCATAAAACGTAAGAATAAATTTATATCTGTGTGATTTGGATTTATTACCTAGTCCATAGTTGTACGGAACTTCAGATGTATATATCACTACAATTGTGGTTTCTGTCTGTTATTGCTTAAGTTTTTCTGACTGGGCATTTGTGTGATATATTTATTCATAATTATAATTAATACCCACAGACCTTCCTGAGGCACCAGGCAAACCTGAAGTTGAGAACCTAGACAAAACATCTATGAATTTGACATGGGCACCACCTAAGAGTGATGGCGGAAGTGCAATCTTTAACTATGTAATTGAAAGAAAAGAAACATCTTCTAGTCGATGGGTTAAAATCCACAAAGATACATGGGTTTCTACTGAATTCACAGTGTTGGACTTGATAGAAGGCAATGAATATGAATTCCGTGTTGCTGCGGAGAACAAAGCTGGTGTTGGCAATTACAGTGAACCATCAGATCCAAGGATTGCCAAGCCACCATATGGTATGTGTTATCCTTAATTCACAATGTAGCTCATGAAGCTTGTTTGTCTATCGGGTGACATTATATAAAGTATATAGGTAATATAGGAAATGGAACAGCAATTTTAACTCATCTCTCTTACTTCTAGATGTGCCTGGTCCACCAAGCAAACCAATACTCGGTGAAATTGATCGCACAGTAATGACTGTGACATGGACTCCACCAGAATCTGATGGTGGTTCTCCAATCATCGGTTACTTTGTTGAAAAGAAGGAACAATTCAGTAGTCGCTGGACTAAAGTCACTGACATTGTAGTATCAGAACTGACACTGAAGGTCTCTAATTTAACTGAAGGCAGCTTGTATCAATTCCGTGTTTCTGCTAATAACAAAGCTGGTACTGGAACACCAAGTGAACCAACTGAACCTACCATGGCCAAACCACCATATGGTAAGTTGATTAGGTTATATTAGATTAAATTAGAAATTAGAATAGAATTGATTTTGGTTCAACTGTAAGAACATACCTATCTGAAATGCTTGCATTGTGATATTGTTCAGTGTTAATGATACTAATGGAAAATATAGGTATTGATTATTATGGATTATAATGTTTATCAGTGTATTTCATTGGCTGTCAACATTTTTAATTGCCTTTAGATCCACCAGAACCACCTAGTCGACCTGAAGTCAGTGATGTCACTGCTGAAACCATGCACCTGACATGGAATCCACCAGACAATGATGGTGGTTCACCTATCACTGGATACTTCATTGAAAAACGAGATGTCACCAGAGACAGATGGTCAAAGGTCAACAAAGATGCTGTCAAGAATCCTAAATTGACGGTTGAGAATTTGACGGAAGGTACAACCTATGAATTTAGAGTCAGTGCTAAGAATGATGCTGGTGTTGGTAACCCAAGTGAACCATCTGTACCTACTAAAGCTAAACCACCGTATGGTAAGTTTTAATTCAAGTATTGGTAGGTATTTGCATGATATCAGAATACACTGGAGGCTAACATTGCATGGATATTCGAGTAGAGTGTACGTGTGATTTTGGAGATGATGCATGTGTTTTGTATTGGATGAATAAGTCAAATTCCATGGTTGAATATTTTTCAACTGAAGATAATGCTTGTACAATGCGACTTCAACTAAAACGATGTTACAGCATGATCTACTAAAAATGAGACCTTTTTTGCTGATAAACTTGACACGCATAGCATGTTACATAAACGTGTCGACTGCAGATAAAATTAGCAAGTGTTACTGCATGCCTTCACCCTGGACGCGTGACTGTTTACCACTACCTTGGAGATAGTGCATTTAGTTAAAAATACTATACTGCATGTGCTTTGGATAGCTAACTCCAGGTAAGATGTTGTGATTATAAGGAAGACATCCAGTAAGGTTCATATTGATATTACAATAGATATACCAGAGTCACCTGGTAAACCTGATGTTACTGATGTCACTGCATCGACTATGACCCTTACGTGGGCAGCACCTGTATCCGATGGTGGCAGTCCCATTACCACATATGTCATCGAAAGCAAGGACTCCTTTTCCACAAGATGGAATAATATCACTAAAGACAAGATCACAGATCTGACATACACTGTTTCTGGTCTCATGGAAGGATCTGAGTACCAGTTCCGTATCAAAGCACAAAATGCTGCTGGTCTGTCTAAACCTAGTCAGCCTTCAGATCCTGTTATTGCCAAGCCTCCATTTGGTAAGTTTTCCTATCAGACCACATAGCTTTCTTCCAATAAAATTTGTTTTATTTATTATATTCACTTACTATTATCAGATTATGATTTTTTTAAATATTATACGCATGCTTTGTAATTCAGTTTCTTACTCTATTCAATCTCTTTATAGTTGTACCTGGTGCACCAAGTAAACCAGTTATCTCTGATGTAACAGCCATGAGCATGAAACTAACATGGAATGCCCCAGGTAGCGATGGTGGTTCTCCTATCACTGGCTATTCTGTTGAGGCAAGAGAACGTCTTGGAACATGGACAGTCATCACACTGGATGCAGTACAGGAAACCAGTTATACAGCTACAAGTCTCATTGAAGGCAAAGTATACGAGTTCCGTGTCTCAGCCCAGAACAAAGCAGGTCTTAGTAAACCCAGTCCGCCATCAGATCCAACAGAAGCAAAAGATCCAATTGATCCTCCCTGTCCACCTGGCAAACCAGAACCAACTAACATTAGTGGTACTGAGATGAAAGTCACATGGTCCATGCCAGAGAATGATGGTGGATCTCCCATTATTGGATACATTGTTGAACGCTGTGAAACAGCTAGAATGAGATGGATGAAGTCAAATACAGACCTTGTGAAGGAAACCACTTATCTTGTCCAGGATTTGATTGAAGGAAACACCTATACATTTAGAATTATAGCAGTTAATAAGGCTGGTGAAAGTGAGCCAAGTGAACCATCAGAACCAAAGGTTGCCAAACCTCCATATGGTAAGTTGTCTACTATTGCTTTTTCAAACTTTTTATCATAGGATTGTTGAGAAGCCAAGCCAATATATTTGCATCCAATACATGTTTAGTATAATCTGTGTATCTGTTGTGTACTTGCTTTCTCTAGATGTACCGGAACCACCTAGCAAACCTAATATCAGTGATGTTGATGCTACTCAAATGACTCTGACCTGGACACCACCTGAACACGATGGTGGATCACCAGTTACAGGATATATTATTGAACGTAAAGATAGCATGAGCATTAAGTGGGTGAAGGCTGTTCGAGATGTAGTGACTGACACAACAATCACTGTTAAAGGTCTTATTGAAGGAACTGAATACCAATTCCATGTTGCTGCCCAGAACAAAGCTGGAACCGGAAAGTTTGGTGAACCATCAGATCCAAGGATTGCCAAACCACCATATGGTAATAATCCTCATAGAATACTTCTCATATTCTCTGTTATTCTGTTCTGTCTCAAATTGTTTTTGATTCCTCTTTTATAGAGCGGTTACTTTCACACTATTGATTGGTTCAGCATGTAATGAGTTTAAGCAACATTTAATATGTTTTCAGAATGATGTATATATCAAATATGAGACAATGGAATACAGTCATTAAATCATTACTGTTAGCATATTACGACTGCTCAGTATAACACACATTGTTCTTGTTTCTCAGACATTCCAGGTCCACCAGGAATGCCTTCTGTGACATCAGCGGACAGCACATGGATGACTTTAACATGGTCTCCTCCAGAAGATGACGGCGGTGCAGAAATCACCAATTATATAGTTGAGATGAAGGAAGGATTCAGTACAACATGGAAGAAAGTAGTGAGAAATGTCTCTGATACAACACATACTGTAAAGAATCTCACTGAAGGAAATGAGTATGAGTTTAGAGTCAGTGCTGAGAACAAAGCTGGTGTTGGACCACCAAGTGAACCATCCACTCCAAGGGTGGCCAAACCACCATATGGTAAGCTTACTAGTTACTCATCAAAAATCATAATACTATGTCCGCATTATGTTTTTTTTTTCTCTCTATTGCACCATAGTGCACATTGTTGATGAAACCTAGCTCATTTCCAGTATTGTGATAAAAAGTGATTAGAAATATAATAAGCTATGCAGACAAGATTTCTTTAATATGAAGACAGTTTAATAGTGATGTCTATATGGCTACTATTACAATTATCCTAAAAGAAGAACCACAAAATATTGCATCACTTCTGTACAGGCCATTCATTATGCCACTGTAATGTGTATTCATGTCTTTGCTATCCCAGATGTACCTGGTCCACCTGGTAAACCAGATGTTACTGAAACTGACAAGACAATGATGACAATAACTTGGACTCCTCCAGAAGAGGATGGTGGAAGCCCACTTACTGGATATGTTATTGAGAAATGTGACATCAGTAGAGACAGATGGACAAAAGCTAATAGGATTACTGTAACTGAGTCAACATTCCAAGTTACTGATCTCATTGAGGGACAGAAGTACATATTTAGAGTCAGCGGTGAAAACAAGGCTGGAGTTGGTAAACCTAGTGAACCATCAGAACCAAGAATTGCCAAACTACCATATGGTAAGCTTTTTCGTGTTGGGTTAGGAATGTTAAAATATAACTTAATAACACATGCATTTGTTATTATTTTGTGAATAAAACTTTATATACAAATTAATCATTGTCTGTATTTGCATGCTTTTATTTGTATGTCTGCAACTATTTTGCCTAATCTGCATGTGACGGTTGGTTTATAGAAAAGTTGTGTAAATGAGAGTGCCTGTCCCTGTTAACAATTAATCTAGCATGTGTGTGTTTTATTTTATTATAGTTTTACTGAAACTTGTGTCAATGAACTTCAGTGTTTTCTCTAAATTTTAAATGGAAATAGGAGATGCTAAAATCTCTTTTAGAGAAAACTCTGTAAATTTTGGGCCTGTTTGGAAAGGATATAAGAAACATATTTGAATATATATATTTATATTTATTTAAAAAAAAAACAATCTATGCATTTATATGTTTTTTAACATCCATTTAATATATTCATTGGTAATTGCAAATATGAGCATTTATTTGGCATTGACTAATGACATTGCTGATTTTTGGCTTAAAAAGAGTTTGTTGATATGCAAGAGATGAATAATTTCAGATGTTGTTATACATAGTATGTGTATTTGCAAGTATATGTTATCATTGTACTAACTGTGTGATGTAATATGTGGCATGTTGATAATATACATGTATATTGTGTTAGCCTCCAATGTTGAATGATAATCTATGCAAATTATCTTGTAACCAGATGTACCAGATGCACCTGGACAACCAGAAGTGAGCAAGGTTGATTCCACTGCCATGACATTGACATGGGCAGCACCTGACAATGATGGTGGTAGCCCTGTGACTGGTTATGTCATTGAAAAGAAAGATGTGACAAGCACTCGCTGGGTTAGAGTTAATAAAGACATAGAGATTGATACTACTCTAAGAGTTACTCAGCTTATTGAAGGCACAACTTATGAATTTAGGGTCAGTGCTCAAAATAAGGCTGGGGTCGGTAAACCAAGTGAACCATCTAAACCACAAAAAGCTAAACCTCCATATGGTAAGATTGAGAATTTATTGGCATGCTTGTTGTATCTGCATGGTGAATAAATACCAATTCCAAAATCTGGTATTAACTACCAATGTTAAAACTGTTAAAAGCAATTTATAGAATTCCTAAAACTATATCTCAAATAAAGACTCAGTGTCAGTTGGTGTACCTTGTGTTCACTGTCTGTTTTGTTAATATTCCAAGTTACTGTGTGAATGTAACCTTGTGTTGTCATGAAAGTAAACTTAGAGATGATTTACAACTGATTTCCATGCATTGTCCAATCTTTATAGATGTTCCAGATGCGCCAGGAAAACCTGTACCAACCCAGATCAGTGGTACACAGATCAAACTGACCTGGACTGAACCTGAATTTGATGGTGATTCTGAGATTTTCAATTATGTCATTGAGCGTAAAGAAATTAGCTCATCTAGGTGGATGAAAGCAACACGAGAGTCAGTTGCTGATTTAACGTGTACTGTTAATAGTCTAACTGAAGGAACTGACTACGAGTTCAGAGTTGCTGCTGAGAATAAAGCAGGTGTTGGTGCTCCAAGCAAACCATCTGATGTTGTCAGAGCTAAACCACCATATGGTGAGTGCCATGCATTTAATAGTATCTGATTATCAAGTGTTGAGAAATAAAGACTCAAATCCAGTAAATATTAATCATTCCTGCTTTGAGTCAAGATGGATTGTGCCCATGTCAAATTGTGAAAATATGTGATAAATATATAACTGTTTTTATCTAATTGTTTGGTTTTATGCAAGGCTATTCTTCAGCTACTAATCCCTGAATGGATTGGTGTGTTTTTTACTGAAATTCTGAACAAATAGATTAGGGTTAATCAATGTCAAAATGGTGACCAGTTGGACTGCCTAAAGGTGGCTACTATAGTCAGGTGGCGATTACATAAAAAGTATTACTAACACAAATTTGCTGTATTGCAATTCTTGGGAAATATTATGATAATTATAATATCTGTTTCTTACTTCATAAAGATGTACCTGGTCCACCAAGTACTCCAGATATCAGCAAGGTTGACAGTACCCAGATGACCTTAACCTGGACAGCACCTGAATCTGATGGTGGCTCACCAATAACTGCATACATTATTGAAAGATGTGATATCAGCAGAAAACGATGGATGAGAGCAAACAAAGATGGTGTCACTGACACCACATTTACTGTTACTGACCTTATGGAAGGCAATGAATATCAGTTCAGGGTTTACGCTGAGAATGCTGCTGGTGCTGGACCACCTTGTGAGCCAACAAAACCAAGAAAAGCTAAACCACCTTATGGTAACTATTTTAAATTTCAGATGATTCCAAACAAAAGTTCAAAAACACAAAACAATATCAGTCTGAAGGCATATCACAAAGAAATGATGTCAGTCAGTGTTGATGAGTTGTGGTGTTTCTCACTAAAGTTCCTGATACCAACCACTATTAAACTTAATATTCCCTACCACATTACAGTTTCTGGCAATTTCAAGCCTGTATTGTACATTAATGGCAAAAGTTCATGTAGCTGTATGTGGTGTAGCTGTAGTTGCTTGTGATGTAAAAAAAAATATTTAATATGTAAATTTTTAGAATTTAAAGATAAATATGTTTTATTTCTTAATTCTTGCTTGCAGATGAACCAGATGCACCTGGAAAACCAAAGGTTGTGGACTCTACCAAGTCATCCATCACAATCACATGGACTGAACCAGAGAATGATGGTGGTTCTCCTATCACTGGATACTACATTGAGAAGTGTGAAACCAAGCATGATCGATGGATGAAAGTTTCCAAATTAGCTGTCAGTGAAATGACGTATACAGTGCCTGGCCTTATCGAAAATAGTCAATACATATTTAGAGTGTCAGCAGAAAATAAAGCTGGTATCAGTAAACCAAGCGAGCCATCAGATCCTACTTTGGCCAAATTACCATATGGTAAGTGCCTCTCTTGTCTAAATAGTTACAGACAGATAAACCTTACATAACAATACAGGATTCATAGTCACACTGCTTCTGTTCTAGCACTTTAAAGCACATGTATTTTTAATATCAAGTACATTACACCCATTCCATGTATTGAATTTTGGCTTAATTTTTTAAATACATTTTTGACAAGTATTTCTCAATTGCTTGGTTTATCAAAAACTATCTACTAGTGTTACTAGGTATTTTTTCTGCAAAATATAAGACATATCTCTCATCTTACAAATAGAGTAAATTTTATGTTAAGTATATCAGGCAAAATAATTGTCTTGCTGTCCCTGTAGTACATATTTTTCTCCTTTTTTTCCTGTTCTTAGATGTGCCAAGTGCGCCAGGAAAACCAGATATTACCAAAGTAGACACCACAGAAATGACATTAACATGGGCTGAACCAGATACAGATGGCGGTAGTCCAATTGTTGGATACTTGATTGAAAAGAAGGAGAAATTCAGTAGCCGATGGACGAGAGTGAAAGAATCTTTAGTTACCGAAACAACATACACTGTAGCAGACTTAAAAACTGGATCAGAATATCAATTCCGAGTTGCTGCTGAGAATAGGGCTGGTGCTGGTAAACCCAGTGAACCATCAGATCCTAGAATTGCCAAGCCACCATATGGTATGTTAATTTCATTAGAATTGAATATGACAGTAAAAGTGTTAACATATCAGTCACCTACTCAATAATATCACCAAGAATGAGGCAGCTGATAATGTGTTTCATGTTTTACACCAGTTTTATTCTAACATTGTTTCGATATGTTGCTATACTATTATTTTTTAGGAACTCTAATTATACGATTCATGTTATACTATTCTATAACAGAAATTTAAATTAATACAGAACGTGAAAGAATGTTAATTAATTTTTGTTATGTAATTACAATAATTTTGTTTTCTTGTCCGTTTTTGATCAGAATTGTTCCCATCTAAATTTTAGTCAGTATATTTCATGCAAAATGTTAGGATATATTATTTATTGTATTAAGGATTTTATACTTACTTTTGCCTTTCAAAGAAGTAATTGTTTAATCTAACATCACCTGTTGCTATATTTCTGTTTCTCATTATTAATGTTTGATTGATGTTATTTTCAGATGTACCAGCTCCTCCTGGTAAGCCATCCGCTACGGATATCCAAGCTACTAAAATGACACTGACTTGGGCACCACCAGAAGATGATGGCGGTTCCAAAATCATTGGATACGTTGTTGAAAAATGTGATGTCAAGCACAGAAGATGGTCTAGAGCTCACAAGGAAGAACTTGTGACCGATACATCTGTAACAGTCTATGAATTGAATGAAGGCTCAGAATATATCTTCCGAGTATCTGCCGAGAATGCTGCTGGTGTTGGTAAACCGAGCCAACCATCAGATGTCATCAAAGCAAGACCACCCTACAGTAAGTGTATTATATGTAACCACATTTATGTAAATCAATTAATATTGACCCCTGCACTATCCATGCTCAGGAAACAGTGATGAAATACTTTAAATCTTGAAAATGACGATGATAACAAGACAGACATATGTACCTTTCCCTCTGGAAAATAGGCATCAAATAATTCTTAATTTACAGCTTTAAAATAGCTGAACATTAGATAGATGGGCAATGCTTAGAAAGCTTCTTTTATATGAATGTCTTCATAACTTTTTTCTTGATTTCCAGATGTTCCAAGCGCACCTGGTAAACCTGAGGTTATTGACACCACACTGACATCAGTGACCCTAACATGGACACCACCAGAGGATGATGGCGGTGCTCCTTTAGAAGGATACGTCATTGAAAGATGTGATGTTGGTAGAGACAGATGGATAACTGCTAACAAAGAAACATGCTTAGAATTGGAATATACAGTAACAGGTCTGTTTGAAGGCAATGAGTATCTATTCCGTGTCTGTGCTGAAAACCTTGCTGGTATTGGTAAACCCAGTGAGCCAACTGGACCAACTAAAGCCAAGTTGCCATATGGTAAGTCTATGGTCCTCCATGTTTTGTGTTTCTATTCTGGTAGCTGTTTTATGACAGAACAACTCATGGAACAATTTGATCTTACATCCTTGGTTTGATTTCTAGTTTTTTCACTTGAAAGTGTCATTGAAACAATACAATACTTGATGCCCAGCATCATTTAGAGATTATTAATTTGACTGACCCCTCAACAGTTAAAAAAAAATGCATACTGCTAGGCTTGCAGAAACCCTATTTGTGAGAATGGCATACAAGAATGTGTTAGTGTGATTCCAATTCTTCTCCAATTGTAGATGCACCAGATGCACCTGGAAAACCAGACATCAGTGAGGTTACAGCATCATCTTTGACTCTAACCTGGACACCACCTGACCATGATGGTGGAAGCGACATTACCAAATACGTGGTTGAGAAGAAAGAGAAGTTTAGTACAAGATGGGTAGCAATTGGAAAAGTTTCTGAAACAACATATAATGTGGAAGACCTCATTGAAAGCAATGAATATGAGTTCCGTGTTGCTGCTGAAAATAAAGCAGGTGTTGGAAAACCAAGTAAACCAGCTGGTCCAGTTGTTGCCAAGCCACCATACAGTAAGATCACTTTTATATATTGTCATAATGAATTATTTTTACCTCACAATAAGCATCACAATAAGTGTCTATCTATGACAATTTGAACTACATATGTCATCTCTTTCTTTTGTTCCATTTACAGATGTACCAGATGCACCTGGAACACCAGACGTAACAGCCACATCTCCAACAGCAATCAGCCTTAAATGGGCAGAGCCAGCATCTGATGGTGGAAGTCCAATCACTGGCTACTTCGTTGAACGCAAAGATGCTTTCAGTACCAGTTGGGTACGTGTGAACCGTGAGAGAATGTCAAAACTTGAACTGACTGTTGAGGAACTTGTCCAAGGTCAAGAATATGAATTCAGAGTGTTTGCTGAGAATAAAGCTGGCCTGAGTAAACCCAGTAGTACATGCGGACCAGTGAAGGCCAAACATCCATTTGGTAAGTGATTTACTTAATAATAATAGAATCACCTAATGATTTAGATATTGCCTGTCCATCGTGACAGCTACTTTATTCCCTAATTTATTCCATTAGTAAATTCTTCTCATGTGTACCTTGAATGTTTGAGAAGAATTGTGGGAGGAAGTACACATGTAATCCTTACTATCTTTGTGCAATCTGGATTTTTTTGTTTTCTACTGAAAACTGACATCCTGAATATTTTATTTGGTGTAAATGGATCATCAACATATCTTAAGAATGTACCGGTTGGCGGATCTACATCTGCATGTCACAAAATATAATTGGTCATTGTATGTAACTCACCATTGTAGATGTACCAGATTCACCGGGTACTCCCAAAGTGTCCGACATCAATTCAACTCACATGACACTTACCTGGACAGCACCATTGAGTGATGGAGGCAGTGAAATAACTGGATACTTTATCGAAAAGAGAGAAGGTTATATGCCCAAGTGGATTCGAGTAAACAACATTACAGTCAGTGAGCTGACATTCCAAGTTGACAACTTAACTGAAGGAAATGAGTACACATTCCAAGTTACAGCTGAAAATAAAGCTGGACCTGGTAAACCAAGTGAACCATCCAAACCTGAAAAGGCTCGACCACCCTATGGTAAGATAGCATGCTGACTGATGCATGAAGTCCAGTGTTCCTGTTTTATATGTCTACCCTTCCAGGCTGGAGCATGCTATTTTAAGTTATTCTTTCTGCTTGATCTGTATTGAGTTCCTCCTTCCAGACATATTCATATCTCAATTTCTCAGTCCATATACATCTTCTCATACTTGAATTTCTAGCTTTAACATTATTTCCATGCTTGCCTAATGTGGTTTACTTGCATGATCAGGAAACCAATTATTATTGACCACGGGTATGGAATTTGTTCCCAGATGTTGCAGGAGCACCTGGCAGACCAGTCGTTAGTGACATCAAATGCACATCAATGAAACTGACCTGGGAACCACCTACATCTGATGGCGGTAGCAAGATCACAACTTATATTGTGGAAAAAATGGAAGGAATAAGTAGTCGATGGATACGAGTGAATAAAAACGAAACCACTCTGGAAAATGAATATGTTGTAACTGGTCTTTATGAAAACTCAGACTACAAATTCCGAATTGCTGCTGAGAACAAAGCTGGTGTTAGCAAATACAGTGAATCATCTGACTTGCAAATGACATATGGTTAGTTTTTAGGATATGCTATTGCTGCTTTTTTATACACTTCAGCATTTCATTCTTTAATTGTCAAATCATGCTGCCTTTCACTTTTCACACCTTCAAACCTCATTTCTCTGCTTAGATGTGCCTACAGCTCCTGGCAAACCTTCTGTGACTGATGTGAACGCCACCTCAATATCCCTCACTTGGACTCCTCCATCAACAGATGGTGGAAGTCGAATTACTGGCTACGTACTAGAACTGAAGGAAAAGACTTCCTCAACATGGACAAAACTTGATGCTGACATTAAGACAACTTCACACACTGTTTCCGATCTCAAAGAACATGTAGAATATGAGTTCCGTGTCTCTGCTGAAAATAAAGCAGGCACCAGTCCACCAAGTGCAACTGCTGGACCAACTGAAACCAAACCAAAGATTTGTAAGTCATCTCCACCTTCCAGCTGATGCATGAAGCATGGGATTGTCAAGAAATATATAAATTTTAGTGGTCATCATTGTAGTAATGCCTATTTTGTATATGGACATATAAATGGACAAAAAATACTGCTCTCTGAATCAACTTTGCCTCCATTAAATATCTCAACATCCAACATGGTCATATTACTGTTTTGTTTAATAATATAATCATTTGAACTTTCTGTTCTTCAGATCCTCCTGGTTGCCCTGGCATTCCTGATGTTACGGCCTTTGACAGTACAGAAATGACATTGACTTGGACACCTCCTAAAGAAGATGGTGGCAGTGAAATCACTAGTTATCATGTTGAGAAATGTGACACCAAACGAGGAAGATGGGTCAAAGCAAACAAGAACAATATCAGTAATACCACCTTCACAGTGCCAGATCTCCTAGAAGGTACTGAGTATCAGTTTAGAGTCGCTGCTGAAAATGCTGCTGGTGTTGGTGAATACAGTGAACCATCAAAAACACAGATTGCAAAACCACCATATGGTAAGTTCTTTGGGGAGATTTTAAAATTGATCTTATTGCACAAGTGCTTCATTTTACACTAACACTTGGTGAATCGGTTTTCTTGGTCTCATTACTCTATCCTTCTGTTTCCTGCTTTTCTCTCTTGGGATGGTTATCACTAACAGATGTACCTGGCCCACCTGTTAAGCTTGAAATCATTGCTGTGGACAGTACGCAAATGACATTGACTTGGAGTCCACCTGATAGTGACGGTGGGAGCCCCGTAATCAACTATGTTGTTGAAAAGAGAGAGCAGTTCTCAAGTCGATGGAGCAAATCTAGCAGAGAGACCATAACAGAACTCAAATACACGGTGAAAGAACTGGTGGAAGGATCTCAGTACGAATTTAGGGTTATTGCAGAGAACAAAGCTGGTTTAGGTAAACCAAGTGATGTGGCTGGTCCTAGAGTTGCTAAACCACCATATGGTGAGTCGGTCACATAGTCTGCATGATATTATTTGGTCACTATCACGTCTCCATACATCATAAATTAATATCAGTGCTTTCAGAGCTGCTTTTTCTGCTTATTTGATCTTCAACATATTTGGTGTATAAGTGTTGTATGCTGTTCATAAGACAAAGTAAAATTTGTGTCACCTCTAAATGAGTTAATTGGATTTCTATAATCATTGCTGCTATGCTTTTTCATCTCTTTTGCAAACTCACTGGGGCTTTGTCTATCTGTCTTCTTCCTGCACAATTTCTCAGATCTTCCTGATGCACCTGGTAAGCCAGATGTCACAGACATCACTGAAAAGACAATGAAACTAACATGGACACCACCTGAATCGGATGGTGGTAGTGAAATATTCAATTATGTAATTGAAAAGAAAGATAAATTTGCATCTCGCTGGACAAAGGTCAATGACTACACTGTGTCAGAAACAACATTTGTTGTTGATGGCTTAAAGAAAGGCAATGAATATGAGTTTAGAATTTCAGCTGAGAATAAGGCTGGTATTGGTAAACCAAGTCCCCCATCTGATACTAGAATTGCCAAACCACCATATGGTAAGTTGCTGCATGCAATGTTTCCAGAAATCAGTTCCTATGCATATGTCTCCACTCATAGAGGATTACAGTCTCTGTGCATGCAAATTTAGTTCACAAAATACAATTTCATATATTTAACATTTGATGAAACTGACATGAAATTGCTGTCTTCATTTTATCTGCGATTATCAAAATACTGAGCTTTTGTTTTGTGTTTCAGATGTTCCAGGCCCACCTGGCACTCCAACCATCAAAGACTCTAAACCAACATCCTTGACTTTAACTTGGGAACCTCCAGAAGATGATGGTGGAGCTAAAGTTACCGGATATGTTATTGAAAAGAAAGAAAAATTTAGTGCCAGATTTACCAAGACCGGGACATCTACTGAAACAACATTTACTGTTACTGACCTTACAGAAGGTGATGACTATGAGTTCCGTGCCTGTGCTGAGAACAAAGCTGGTGTTGGTAAGCCAAGTAACGTGGTCGCTTTGAAGATCAGTCTTCCAGATGCACCTGGAAGACCAGATGTCAGCGATGTTACTGATGTTGAAGCCACTCTCACCTGGACACCTCCAGATTCTGATGGTGGTGCCAGAGTTACTGGTTACATCATTGAGAAAAGAGACACTGCGAAAGATAGATGGATTAGAGTCACAAGAGCTACTATCAAAGAAGAAACTTTCCGAGTATCTGACTTGATTAAAGATACAGAGTATGAGTTCAGAGTGTCAGCTGAGAATAAAGTTGGAGTAGGTGAACCAAGTGAACCATCTAAACCAGTCATTGCTAAACTACCATACGGTAAGTATAATAATTGTGTCTATCTAGGATACATAAATTATAATTTAATTCCAGTCTCTGTTCTGTTCTGTTTTTAACTTCCTCTATTTTGTTGAAAAGTGCTTAAAAATTTTAAATACTACATTTGTTTGTGAATTATTGATATTATCAATTGTATGATTGACAATCACTAAAACCAGTGTAAGTATACATGTGTTTGAGCAAAATAATAAGAGCACATACTACTTTGAGCAAACCTTGCTTGCCAAGCATAAGCAACAGAAATCCCTTGGATTGTTAGTATTGCTGAACTCTCCTAAAACCCTGTTCAGCTGATGTTCATCACAATAAACTCAAAATACTTAATACACGCTGTAAATCTCATCATCTATCACTTAAGATGTGCCTGGTGCTCCTAAGAACCCAGAAGTTAGTGACATCACCAGTAAATCAGCTCAGCTCACATGGCAACCACCCAATAGTGATGGAGGTAGTGAAATCACTGGCTATATCATTGAACGTAAAGATCAATACAGTTCGCGATGGGTTGCTGCTGGAAAGACAACAGAACTGACATACCAAGTTACTGACTTGAAAGAAGGAAACCAGTATGAGTTCAGAATAGCTGCTGAAAACAAAGCTGGAATTGGCAAACCATGTTCCCCAACATTACCTATCACAGCCAAAGACCCCTATGGTAAGATGGTACTTGCAAATGGAAAAAAATACTGTAACATACAGGCCCCATAGTGGAATCACTCAATCTTTTGTTTTCTTATAAGCTTTTTTTGCAATTTCTGTTCTGGCATTCTTGTTCAATTTTACTCTTATTTCACTCAGTGCAATTAGGATCATCTTTTCTTTTTTTCTCTTTTCTTTCTTCCTTCCTTTCTGTGCTAAATTTTTATTCACTCCTTACTATTCACTTACTTTCCTAAGACGTACCTGGAGCCCCAGGATCACCAGAAGCTACTAGTACAACTGAAACCTCAGTCACTTTGAAATGGGAACCTCCACAGTCAGATGGTGGAAGTGCTGTCCTTGGTTACTTCATTGAAAGAAAAGATAAGAACAATAAATGGATACAAATCAACAGAGTCTCTGAAACCACATATACTGTTACTAACTTGTATGATGGTGCAGAGTATCAGTTCCGTGTTAGTGCTGAGAACAAGGCTGGTGCTGGTCCTCCGAGTCAATCGTCTAATGTACTACTATATGGTGAGACAAATTGCTTGTGTAATGCATGTAAAGTGGTGTGACTCCTACTGTACCTTAAAGTGAAGATACAGGATAATATTTGGTTCACATCAAAAAAGGAATCTGAAATTCTGCATATCCTACAGCATGCAACCCATCTCTTTTATGTCCATCCTTATTCTTTCTCTTTTTTTCATATCTTTACGTCTTCAACATTTTCTCTGATCTTGCTGTGTTCTTCAGATTTACCCAGTGCTCCTAAAACACCAGAGATCACAGACGTTCAAGCCACATCAATGACTTTAAATTGGTCACCACCTGAGAGTAATGGAGGTTCTCCCATCATCAACTACATAATCGAGATGAAGGACGAACACTCTATCAAATGGGTGAAAGCAAATAAATACAAAGTCTTGGAAACCACATTCAAGGTGGATAAACTGAAGCAAGGGAATAAGTACCAATTCCGCATTGCTGCGGAGAACAAAGCTGGTGTTGGACCGGCAAGTGAACCAACAGAACCTAGAGTTGCAAAGCCACCTTATGGTGAGTGGAAGAGTGCAGATACAACAGCAGCAGCATGGATATAACATGAAGAGTTCATTCATCTTGGAATTGGAGATAAAGATGATTGTAAACTAATGAAGCTTATTATTGTTTTGTTTTTTAGATGTACCAGATGCTCCTGGTAAACCAACAGTGAGTGATGTTTCATCTACTTCTATGGTCCTCACATGGGAGGAACCAGAATCAGATGGTGGAAGCAAGATTACTGGATACATCATTGAAAAGAAGGAGGAATTCTCAACAAGATGGGTTAAAGTGAACAGAGACACTGTACTTGATCTTACATTTAAAATTACTGGACTTACAGAGAGCTCAGATTATCAGTTCCGAGTTGCTGCTGAGAACAAGGCTGGTGCTGGCAAATACAGTGAACCATCAGATTCTAAAGTTGCCAAACCACCATATGGTAAGGGTGTAGCATATACATACATAGCTAAGCATAAGATTTAATGTTCTATTCAGAGCTAGTTATCAATTGAGTCTACAATTAAACTGATATTTTTTAATACATTGTCAATAGATGTTCCAGATGCACCAGGAAAGCCGGACATCTCTGATGTTACCAGTACTACCATGAACCTTACCTGGACTCCACCAGATAATGATGGTGGATCTGCTATAACAGGATATATCATTGAAATGAGAGTGAAGTTCTCCAGTAGATGGAGCAAGGCTAACAAATATGCTGTCAGGGAAACCAACTTCAAAGTAACAGATCTAAAAGAAGGCAGTGATTATGAGTTCCGTGTTGCTGCTGAAAATAAAGCTGGTATTGGCAAATATAGTGAACCAACTGAACCAAGAACTGCTAAACCACCATATGGTAAAGACTTTTTAATATATAATATAATCTGCCCAATATTTTTCACTTATCCAAATAAAGAATATGAATTTTGTTGGCCAATTATTGACCAATATATTAGAAGCTTGTCAATGTGCAAATTATATCATAACAATGTAGATGATGGTGGCAAATCGGTGGATATTCTATAATTAACTATGCTGCTGTTCTTAATTCTTACTCTCATTCAATGCTAATAAATATGGCTAGACCAAGTGGGCTTTCACTTGAAAAACAGATTATTCCAAGCTTGCCAGTGTCATTTCACATGTTATATTTACAGATGTACCAAGTGCACCTGGCCAACCTGATGTCAGTAAAGTGGACAAGACTCATGCCACCCTAACATGGACACCACCTGAATCTGATGGTGGCTCACCTATCACTGGCTTTGTTATCGAACGTTGTGATGTGAGCAGACAGAGATGGACCAAAGCACACAAAGAACGAGTCACAGATACTACATATACTGTAACAGATCTGATTGAAGGCAATCAATATCAATTCCGTGTTAGTGCTGAGAACAAAGCTGGTGTTGGTCCTGCGAGTGAACCTTCTAAATCCATCACTGCTAAACCACCATATGGTATGTATTCAAATGACATGTTAGAATGGCTAATTTCTCATTTCCCAATTTCACAAATAAAGATTGTCTCCACTCATCAATGTATTCAATGTAAAGACATTTTGCTTATGAATGCACTAAGGTAGAATTGTCCGTTACACTTGTTTTGAGTGTATGTGTATACACAGTGACTGTTTGGCAAGAACCATGCAGTCATTGACACCAGAAGATTTAATAGGGACATTATCTGTTATTAAATATATATGTATGTATCTCTGTTAATATAACAACTTACAGGCAACCCTGTCACAGCAGATTCCAAGCTAGTGCTGATCACGGAGTGACATGTGTTATCATACATTCACTTTTTGATTGACAAAAATATAAACAAATGTGACCCATAATTATGTAATAAAATAAAGTAATGTTTAGTTACATGCCAAAAATTACAACTGCTTATTGCTTGTTTCCACATTTTATTATAAAACTGGAGGTACAAATGTATCATACTTATATCAATAAGATATTATTTTTCATTTATTTATATTTAGTAAACTCTCCTTCATTGAAATAAATAAGTATTTCGTGTATTTCTAGATGTGCCTGATGCACCAAGCAAACCTAAAATATCAGATATAACAGAGACTGCAATGACTCTCACATGGACTCCACCGAAAAATGATGGAGGAAGTGAAATCACAAATTATGTGCTTGAAAGAAAAGATAAATTTAGTACAAGATGGACTAGAGCTACAAGAAACAACATCCCAGAAGCCACCTATAGAGTGAATGACCTGGTACAAGGTTCAGAATATGAGTTCCGAGTTGCTGCTGAGAACAAAGCTGGTGTTGGGGCATTCAGTGAACCATCAGATTCTAAAGTTGCCAAACCACCATATGGTATGTCTGGGTTTTTATACTGCTTTGCACTCCTTGAGTATATTGTCACAAGTTTATTTTATTGTAAATAAAATGGCATGACCAATGAAATACCCCTTTCCACCTTTTGTCTGGCAGCTGTATTTCTTGTTGATATAAACAGTATAATTGCTTCCACAGACCAATTGATATAGGGAAATTATGATTTTTATGAAATTTGACAATGTATGCCATAGTATTTATACAGTTGCTTTTTGTCTCTAATCATGCAATACTGTCTCTTCACTGTAGATGTACCGGGCCCACCAGGTAAACCAGTCATAAGTGATGTCACATCAACAACTATGAAGCTCACATGGAGTGAGCCTGAAGACAATGGTGGCAGTCCTGTCACTGGTTATGTCATTGAACGAAAAGACAAATTTTCATCCACCTGGTCTAAGGTCAATAGATACCCTGTCAAGGAAATGTCTTACACTGTGACTGATTTGAAGGAGGGGTCAGAATATGAATTCCGTGTTGCTGCTGAGAACAAAGCTGGTGTTGGAAAACCAAGTGAATCTACTGGACCTCAAGTTGCCAAACCACCATATGGTATGTTTTAATGCAACCATGTTTGGTTGTTGGAAAAGTATAAATGATATAGAACAATATCATATTTCAAGATTGTACATGTCATAGCTGTACACTCAAGAAATGTTTACTTGCAATTTTCAATCAACTCATGTAAACACACAATAATGAGTAATGAAATGATGTAATGAAAGTGATGTATGTCATCTGTACTCAAAATATTTAAAATAGATGAGTTAAATATGAATGATGTTTGATGTTTTTGGAAAGATGAACCCATCCTGCCCATTCAATTCAGTTTATAAAAATCAGTTTCCCACAAATTATTTCTGATTTATAGTATTTATTGCAACATCTGTAGATGTGCCTGATGCTCCAAGCAGTCCAGATATAACTGCTGTTGATTCTACAAAGATGACTTTGAAATGGACACCACCAAGTAATGATGGTGGTTCACCAATAACTGGATACATCATTGAAAAGAAAGACAAATTTAGTGCCAGATGGACCAGAGTAAATAGAGAATCAGTCTTGGATACAGAATACACAGTTACTCAATTAACTGAAGGATCTGAATACCAATTCCGAGTTGCCGCTGAGAACAAAGCTGGTGTTGGCAAATACGGTGAACCATCTGCATCCCGAGTTGCTAAACCACCTTATGGTAAGTAACTGTTTGCTATATTGAATGGGTGACTTGTTTTTATTAAAAACAAACCAGCATGACCCTCTTAACTGCAGCATGTTTCAGGTTAGTTTCACTAATAAACCTAATATTTAAAAAGTATGTGATAATAACATGATGATTTCGTATGAAACTTTTCCTGATCAAAATCTAAAAAAGTTCCCCTCCTGTGCCACATAATGGTTTACCTTTAGTGTGTAGTGTTCAGTCATGAAACTGAAAAGCATGTTCATAATAAGTAACACCATCAGATGCATGGGAGAAAAAAAGGCTCGCAGTAACAGCATGTAAAGTGTGGTGAGTATGAATAAAACACAACATAGAAAGTTTTTGACATTGCAATGGCTTTTTACCAGATGTTCCTGAAGCACCATGTAGACCTACTGTCAGTGACATTGACAGTACTGCCATGACTCTGAAATGGACACCGCCAGAGAATGATGGAGGAAGTCCGATCATTGGATATGTCATTGAGA